TCTTTTGTGCAAGTGCTGACGAGTGGAGCTAGGCCCTAAGGGCTAAACCTCGTAGGAAAAAGAAAGCAAAAGAAAGAGAGAGCTGCAGTAGTAAGTAGTTGTAGCCCATAACTGCTGGAACACAGACCTGACTTCGGATCCGAAAGATATATTGCTGGCCTGCTCCTCTCTCAGCCAAAATATGAGGAATCTTTATGGTGGGACACAGGAGCCCTGCAGATTGTCGGCTGCGGGCACTTTAAGAAAAGAAAAATTAAATTTAATGAGGAATAGGTGGGAGGAGGAGAACGAGGAGGAAGAAAAGAAAGGGAGAAAGGAGGAGTTGCGGTATCGAAAACCGCAGAACACCCCCCCACACCCCCCACCCCTTTCCCCATCCCTCCCCCCCTTCTCCAAACCCACCGAATCTCGACCCACAAAAAAACAAAACAGCAGATTTGGACACTTCAGGCAAAGCGCAAAAATGCGCTGCCTCAGGGCCAAAAATAAGACGCCCGGGATGCCCGGCCGGGCGGGCCCGCCCGAGCAACTTTCGTAGCCTAGATTCCTTGATTGTTTCCTTGGGACCAAAAAAAAAAAAAAAAAACGTAAAAACGAAAAATACAAAGAACTGCCAACCAAAAATCCTCAAAAAAAAAAAACTTTTTTTTAAATTTATTTTTCAATTTCTCTTCTCCGTGTTTTCTGTTTTTTATTTTTTATAATTCTAAAAACTTATTTGTTTCCAAAAAAAAGAAAAAAGGGTGGTAGGGATTAAAAAACCCTACAACCCTATATATACAGAGTTGCCAGGCCGAACTTACGGAGGCCCCTAAGCTGACCCCCGAACGTTTGGGCGTTTGGGTCCCCGTATGGAGCCCGAACTCGAAGGGGTTCGGACCCTTCAAAAACATATTTTGATACCTAAAAATTATTATTTTTTTCTGATGTTGTTTTGGTGAGTTCTCTGTTATGTAAGCTACCTGTCTCTCAATTTTGAAGTCATTCTCTGGAGCCAAACAATAATGAAAATTTGGCAAAGATTGTGATGTCAAAACTTGCTTTCCCACTTACTAGTTTGTTTTGTTTCTCTTTTCACTTTTTGTTTTCCCTTTATGTCGGGGTCTGAAAAAAATTATTATTTTTTCAAACTTTATTTGTAGGTTCTCTATTATGTAAGATACATATGTATAAAATTTCATGGCATTTGACAAAGCCAAAAAAAAACTAAAAATCGCCAAAGATGGCGGTGTCAAAAACTTGCTCGCCCACGCAATAATTTCTTTCTCGTTTGATTTTTTCTTATTTTCATTAATATTATTTATTTTTCGTATTTGATTTTTATTTCAAATTGGGTAAAGAAGTTGGATGTACTGTTAAGGCAAATGTTGTTTAGTTTATTCTTCTGCATGACATATTTTTGTTTCAGGATTTTTGGAAACTTGATTTTTTTTTATTTTTTATTTTTTTTTGGTTTCGCGTTCGGCCGAACGTCCGAACGTGTCGAGAGGGTGTCCCAAACGTTCGGGCGTTCGGGTTCGGGTGTTCGGCCCGTCCCGAACGCCGGGAACCCTGTATATATATATATATATATTTGACCCATTATTTAATTCAGGAAAAATATGGTAAATACGAGTCCGCGACGCGGAGGAGATCGGCCGTGGACACGGCCGTATACACGTTCGCTATCCGAGCTCAACCCCGCGGACGCGTCTGAGGGTGTTTCATAGTTTGCATTTTATTTATTTTTGCTCCGAATGAGCTGAAATTATTTTTATGGGGTCACCTCATGTAGCGCAGCCCCTCCCCATTTTTTTTTATATTTTTTTTAATGTAGAAAATGAGTTTCAACTTTGCCCAAGTTGTTCGCTGGAGACTCCCGGCCAGGACGTCTCTGGATCGGACAACCAGTAACCTAGGAAAAAACAATCCATCAATCAACATTTATTTTCTTCTTTATTTTTTTTATATTTTTTTCACACACCAAACCCCCCCCCCCAAAAAATCTTATTTTTTAACTTTTTTTTGTTCAAGGGAGTAGGGGCGGGCCTCCAACCCCCCCTGCCATCGGGGGTCTATCTTTTTAATGGAGAACGGGGGAATTAAACTCCCGTTGAATCTAGTTAAATTAAAAAAAATCTCGTTAAATTCACGTTAAACGCGAAAATGGGCCGCTCTCGCGCTTTTCGAAAAAACGGAATTGATGCGCGGGGTCCGTAACACGTGGCCCTACGCAATAAATAAATAAATAAATAAATAAATAAATAAACAAATAAATAAATAAAAAATAAAAAATCCAACCCCTAAAGCATCTACCATCCGTCCCCACATCCCCCAACCCCCAATGCCCCAGTTATGTGTGTATAGGTGTGCTGTGTGTGCGCATATGTGTGTATGTGTGTGCCTGCGCGTGAGAGTGTGTCTGTGCATGAATATGAATGTATGCGCGTGTGCTTGTGTATGTGTGTGTTTGTAAGTGTGTGTGTGTGTGTGTGTGTGTGTGTGTGTGTGTGTGTGTGTGTGTGTGTGTGTGTGTGNTGTGTGTGTGTGTGTGTGTGTGTGTGTGTGTGTGTGTGTGTGTGTGTGTGTGTGTGTGTGTGCATGATTGTTGGCGTGTGTCCATTCCCTTTTCAGGGATATAATTTTTTTACTGTTGAAAACTGAGGGCGGGCGATTTGGGTCTGTGTTTTTTTTTTTTTCTCTTCTACTGTGCAAGGAAGATGAGCAATAGCAAACTTAAGCATTCAAACAGCATCATATACACAAGACCAGATAGTCGGGACCTCGAACCAACAGCGGACTTGCATCACGAGTTTCACCAAATAAGAAGACACCAAGAGTTCATAATTGACAATGCTGGTAAAGTCTTATCATCATTAATGAAGAACCAATGTTGATATCCTATCTCGCGCTCGGCCCCCAGACTACAGATGGCAGATCCTATCTAGCCTGGACTACCATGTCGAAGATGACGTCAACAACTTTCCCGAAGTACGAGCATACAGCAGCCAATGTCGCACGCTTCCAGCACCAGGTATGTCTCTCGCCTTACTCACAACGTCGTTCCCCAACACAAAGATGCCACTTGCACACGAGGACCACCCTTCGCCACACCCAGCTTACAGCAGTGCAGCTCGGCTATGGCTGCCTGCTCCTTCCTGCTTGCTCGTGAGCGCGTGAGTGCCACAGGCTACAGCGCGGCAGCGCTTACGCAGCATGCAACCAGCACCCGAATGCCCAATGTGGAGGCAGGCCCTTTGCTATATCGAAGTGGCCTGCCTGTGTTCAGTCCCACGATGCTTCCAATAGGCCCCGGTGGCCTGAGGCCCAACACGAACGAGAACAGGCCTTGGGCCTGAGGTGGTTGCATGCCCCCAAGTGCCTTTGGCCTGTGTTTGGCCCAGTACCCGTATCCAGCTCAGGGCCTGCTTTCCATACATTCACACAGGCGGCCCAGGGCCTGGGTTCTCTCAACCAACTGACGCAAGACTCATGCAACCTACTACAGGCCCAATTTTGTGTGTGTGTGTCTTTTTTTCCTTTTTTTTATTTTCTTTTTATGGTTTTGATATTTTTGAAAATACATGAAGTTCTATAAACATAAAATGAAAAATAAATTGTTGTACATCCTTGAAAAATCTACAACCCTATATTTTTTATTTGTTTTTCTGTTTTTGTTTTAGCCCTTAAGAAATATGTGTGAAACCCGAAACAAAAACACTCATTTTATGTTAGTTTTTGTTTTTTTTCATTGTGTGTTTATGTTTTTGATTTTTTAAAAATATATTTAAACATCAAAAAATAAAAATAAAAATATAGGGTTATAGTCCAAAAAAAAACCTACAACCTTTTTTTTTTTTTTTTTTTTTTTTTTTGGATATGTCTTAGTCCAGGAAAAAAATTGTCGCGGACCCCGTTAATTCGCGTCCAACTCACGTTTGAACGGGAGTTTAACGCGAATTCAACGCGTGTTGAACTTTTCAACGCGGAACCTACGTTGAATTCAAAATCGGACACGCAGTCGGGGGTGGCGGGCCGTTGTAGACTGCAGCCGCGGGGGATTCATAGGCTGTCTTTCGTCTCAGTCCCTCCTATCTATATCCGTCTCCACATCCATCTCCTCAATGGGTCTATACTCGACATCATCCCCTATGCACTGCATACTCCCTTCAAGCGTCCTCTCCATCCCCAAAGCTGCCTCCCTCCACAAATTGGTCGACGACTCGACGCACCCCTGTCGAGATCCAATCCTCCCATAATGTGGCTGATAGGTGTCTCCTCTGCGGCAACCGGGGCATGTCCATCATCACGGGGGGTCAGAGGATGACCCATCGACAAGCCGAGAAAATCATCCGTCCAGCCGGTCGCCGCGGCCTCGGCCGGTGCGGACGCAAACTGGTCATGGTCAGCGACGGAGTCCCCCTTGCGATGGGCTCGATGAACCTTCCCCACCGATCGTCCACCTCCATCATCCCTGCTTGCCCCCTCTGTACCACACTTTCTCGCCTCCCTCAATCTTTGTGAATGTTGCAGACCCTGTACTCCCGCCGTGGTACCGCACATTCTATCATTGTCCTCACCTCCTGGTGCTCCCACACCCGTGCCAGAATCAGGATTGTCATCGGACTCGCTGCTGCCCTCATGCCCTCTCTCGCCGTCGTCGCTGCCTGAGTCGATGGACGTAGGCTGCTGCTTTCCACGAGACGCCCTCTGACGTTGTGCCTCTGCAAGACCGGCCCTATCCACTACTGCAGGTGCAAAAGTTTCACGAGGAGTAGAAGTGCAAGGGTGAGGCGAAAGATGAGGAGGCACTGAGGTCAACTCTTGCGTCTGACGCCACATCCGTGCAAGAGGGATGTCATCATTTGAAGAGTGATCCGAATCCACAGCTAGGCTACGAATCCCCCGCGGCCGCTTTCACCACGGGCAGCGGCCGCAGCCCGTCGATGTTCCCCCCCCAAGGGGAGAGGGGGTTGGGGGTGGGGCCTGCGGATTGGGGTTTCAGAACCCCGACCCTACACCCTTGAAGAAAAAAAAGTTAAAAAGAAAATTTTTGGGGTAGTGGTTTTTGGTGTGTGAAAATAAATAAATAAATAAAAATTGATTGATTGATTGTTTTTCTTTATTGATTGACTTATTGATTGATTTATTGATTGATTTATTGATTGATTGATTGATTGATTGGTTAATTGATTGATTGATTGGTGGGGGAGGGGTCCTGCCTCCCCTCCCCCCGGCACACACACACACACACACGAGCGCACACACCCCCACACACACATACACACACACAAACACACACAAACGCGCGCGCGCACACACACACACACGCGCGCACACACACACACACACACACACACACACACACACACACATACAAACACACACTCACACACACAAACACACACGCACAGACACATACACACAAACACACACCCAGGCCCACACACACATACACATACACACACACACACACAAACTAGCGGGCTCGTTTTCTTTTTTTTTCGGATCAATCAATCAATCAGTATGTGTAAATAAAAAACGAGAAAAAATAAGGAAAAAAAAAAAAAAAACGACTTTGGTTTTTCTTTGCATTATTATCTTATGTTTTTTCCCCCCTTTTATCTTTGCTTATGTCGGTAAAAAAAACGAATCAAAGAAACATGTGCACCATGTTTATCCCACCAGCAATCAGAAAAAAATGAAAAAAAAATCCTTTTTTTTTTTATTATTATTTTTCTAGGTAGCATGGGTTATCTGGCCGGATAATCTGGTCGGATTATCTGGCCGGATGATCGGGGGGTAGGATCATCCGGAAATCCGGATGATTAAAAAAAAAGTCGAAAAAAAATAATGATATTGCGCATGCAAAATACAATAGAACTACGTTCCTATTTCATGAAAAGCTCGATAGGGCCTGGAAGGGTTCAAAGGGGATAAGATAGGGAATAAAGGGGTTGAGAGGCGTGATGCTTAATTCATTCTATAATTTTTATCTTATTTTCTTGTTCTATAACTTCTGTTTTATTTTTTATCTTCATATCTGTTGAGTAATCAAAGATGGCCTCAAGCCAAAAGTTGTTCATATCATTGATATGAACAATATATACATTTTCCAAATTAAAAAAAAAAAAAAAAAATGGTAAAAAATATATATTTTGCGCAGGGCCATATTTTTCATATCCGGAATTAATCCGGAAATTTCATTTGGATTGAAAATTCCAGATATAATTGGTCTTGCTACTTAGTTTTTTTTAATACTTGTCTTTTCTCGTTTTCTATTTTTTTGAAAATCACAGAAAACATGAAAATCCCAAAAAAAAAGGGGATGTAGGAACTTTTAAACCTTACAATCCCATATTTTTATTCGTTTTTCCACCTATTATCCTAGGAGTTAAAAATGTCGGGGGTTTGCAGGCCACACTTCGGCCTGCGGTTAGCGGCCACACTTCACGAGGTCGGCCCCCGCGTACCGTTGAGGGCGGGGAAGAGATTGGTCACTGACATAGAGGCTAGGTCATCTAGATCTTACGATGGCTCCACTTCAATCTCATCCTGCGGGAATTATGGTCGCGGGGGAACAATAATTCCGACTGCATGCGGTCAGTGGCCCCGTGGTGAGCGAATCCTCTCATGTGGCGAGAGAACAATAGCTCACTTGCCGAAGTATATCTCCACGTTTTTGGGTTGTCGGGTGAGCGAATCCTTCAGTCCCTTTTGTACCTCCCTGTCGAGCTCCTTAGTGGTGACCTTGTCCGCGGGGCGAACTCTGGAGTCACAAGGCTCCGGTCTCTCGTCCTCATCCTCTCACGCGAGGAGGTATCCCGCACCCATGCTGTGGCACCGAAGGAGTCGCAAATTGGTGGATATCTCCACCAGACGAGTGAGCTTGGTAAAACCAAGCCTGTTTCGCCGCTTCCCATGAACGCACTCGTGGACAACCTAGTTCCTCTCCTCAGGAGAGACACACACACACACACATACACATGCACACACACACACACACACACACGCGCCCACACACATACACATGCGCACACACACACATACACACACACACACGCACACACACGCTCACACACAGTGACACAGGAACACACACACACACACGCACATACACAC